ACCCGGAAATTTCTCATTCCCGGAAGTGTTCTGCATTAGTTGTTCCGGTTAACGGGGATATCACTGTACAATCAGAAGCAAATTTATTAAAAATTTGACAGTCTACCCTCAAGTCCGTGCTTTATTACTTTATTAACGAAGCACAGATTTGAGGGTAGACTGTCACATTTTTTATGAATTTGTTTCTGATTATTTGTGAGAGTATTTTCCCATTATTATTTATTTGTATACTTATATACAATACAGGTAAAAGAAATAATTGTCCTAAGGGCAAACACATAACGGGATTATACATTTCTCTGTATGCAAGTAAAAATGTAACCCCTCCCTCGGTCAGCAAATGTTATTTTCGGATTCACGGCCATTTTGAGTACCTAACCCCAGCAAATTTGGGGGGCCCCCTGTACTTCCTTTAATTGTTAAATTGTTGTCCTGGTCCTTCTTCATCAAAGTCACCCTCTTGCTGTACTAAAAATCTTTTTTCGGTTTCAATTCATGTTCTATCCCTGCCTCTATTTTGAGCTTATATAAATCCCATTTGTTTTTATCCATACAGTAGTTTTTCTTTTTAATTTTTGAAGTTTTAGCCTCACTAAACTCATTCCTGGGATGTGATCTGACCCACAGTCTGTCCCTGGATAGGTCTTGGTTCAGGTTATTGAATTTGTTTAATCTTTCCTGAATTAAAATATAATCTGTGATTCCTGACTATGTTGTTTACATTGTCCTGGGGTGAGACCCATGTATAGAGATGTCTAGGGTTTTGTTCAAACCATGGAATAATCTTGTTTTCCTTACTAAAGTCAATTAATATTTCTCCTCTCTCATTTCTATTACCCAACCCATGTGGTCCCATTGCTGGTGCTACTTTCCCTTTCCCAACTTTTGTGCTAAAATCATTCACTATAAACAGACATTCATTGAACTTTACAGTGTGTCTTTTGCTTTCTTTATGGCATCATAAAATTCTTCAACGACTTTATCCTCACTATCATTATAGTGGTCCATGGGCTTAGCATTAAACTTGACTAACAAAACTCTTTCTGACACTACCCAATATCCTTTTACACTGCAATACTCAACTTCTTGTTTACAAGAATACCAACACCTCTCTCATGTTTTTCACCACTTGAATGTATTGAGTAAGAATCTTCACCGCTAATGCTATTTTAACATGTCCATCTTAGTTCACTTAATCCCAGAATGTCCCACTGCAATCTTTTCATTTACATATTTAGACAGTAATAAAGGTGAAAAGAATATTGTATAATGCCTGGAAGATGGGTGGTGACAAGTTTGAATACCTGGAGGTAAAACACAAGGTCAGAAGAAAGGTTTACAAGGCTAAAAAGCATGAACAGGACATATTGCAGATATGTTGAATAATGCGGAAGCAAGAAGAGAGGTTTTCAGAGTAGCTAGGCAAATACTGTAGTGGTGAGAAACATTGATGTTGGTAAGGAGGTCATGAGAAATGACAATGGTTATGTGGTTGTTGTTGATGAGGAAATCAAGAATGGATAGCTACTTGGAGAAAGTATTATGATTAATTACTGAATGAAGAGTACGGATGGGTCGGGGGCAGTGAATGGGTGGAGAGAACAGATGACAAAATGAACAGAAAGGCAGCTAGAAGCTCTGGGATAGTTAGAGACACCACTTCTTGTCGGATCAGTGAAGTTAAGCAATTTTGGGTCTGGTTAGTGATCGCCTGGCCCTAAGAACACCACGCGATGTTGGCATAAGGACTCTACTGGAAATAAGTACCTCATGGCTTTCTCAGCTGTCTTTGGGTAAATTGACTAAAACTGACTAAATGCTGAAACCCATCTGGTGATGTAGGCATGTCAGTGGTGACCGAATTGACCAATGAAATTGTAACACTGTAGAAAGTGTGTGATTGTGAATACTTCTGAGGGTAAAGGTGATATGCACCTAATTGTGGGAACTACAGGTACCTGAAGCCTCTAGAACAGGTTATGAAAGGTATAAAAAGAGTGATTGAGAAATTGATAAGGGAGAGTGGAATTAGATGAAATGCAGTTTAGATTTAAGATGCAATATTAATGGCCAGGCACCTACAAGAGAAATATCTAAGGAAAGAGAGAAACTTGTACTACTGTACATATTTGTAGATTCAGAGAAGCATTTGATAGAGCACAGTACCATGTGAAGTTGTTAAGTGGGCATTGAAAAAGCTGGGAGTCGAGTAGTGTCTTGTTCAAGTGGTTATGGCATTATATGAGGGATCAGAAACCTCTGTGAGAGTATGGTAAATGGGGAAGAAAGTGAGGAATTTGTGGTAAAAGTAGGTGTTTGTCTTGAGCTCCCTTCTATTTATCATTGTGTTGGAGACCATAACACAGGACCTAAGGACTCATCTGCCTGGGAGTTGTTGTATGATGATGACTTGGTGCTGATAGTACAGTAGACCCTTGCCATTCGCGATTTTGACGATTCGCGGTAAGCAGATGGTGGCTACGGTAGTTAGCTTGTGAGCCTTTTCCCACAGCACAATGAGTCATCCCCACGCGCCTGCAGCATCTCGTCTCCCTCTGTTCATGCTCAACCATTGCCTGTGATGCAGCTTCTCGTATTGTACTTTAGTGTTTCTGTGTGAAATGACCCCTATACGACTGCCTAGTGTCAGTGCTAGTGGTGTGAAATGTAAAAGGCAGAAAGTTTAATTATTAGATAAGTTAAAAGAGGGGACGATTGCTGCCGTAGCTGGTCGGTAGTTTGTCATAGGTATACAGTACAGTAAGTCCTCGCTTAATGTCGGGGTTACGTTCCTGAAAACGCGACGTTATACGAAACAATGTTAAGCGGATAAATTTCCCCATAAGAAATAGATAAAATACAGGAGTTACGTTCCTGAGCCTCCCTTTGGCCCATGAATACAGAAAATTATTGCCATTTCTATGGACAATAGTGCATGCATATACAACTACAAGTACTGTACTAAGTTTGTATGGGTACTCACCGATGGGCGGAGGTGTCTGGTGGGTAGTGAAGTGGAGGAGGCGGATGGTAGGAGCAGAGGAGGAGGGTGGTGAGTTACTGAGACTCTGCATCTGCCTCCTTCTCCTCCTCCTGCGCTGATTGGGGTTCCTCTGCCGCTGCTTGCTCCTCCTCCGTTGATTCTGGTCCTCCATCCACATTGCCAACATCTTTTCCACCTTCTCTATCACAGTGCTTCTAGTACGAGATGCCTTAGTAGCACTCAGAGATGAACCGCTTCCAGCACCTTGTCAGCGTTGGTCCGGATAGTACGCACCGTTGTGGGGGTTAAACCAAGCACAGCGGCTATGCCCACAGCACGTTCCTCTTTTTCAAAATGAGCTAATACATCCATTTTCGTAGCCAAGGTAATGGTCTTACGTTGCCTCTTCACTATGCTAGCATAAGTAGCACTTGATGGGTGCTTGGAAGCCATTTTGAATTATTAGAGTACAGTTTTAGAGCAACAGCACTTACGCACACATGAATGATGTGAAGTCATAACAAAGACTGGCTTGGCGTCGTTTGGGAACGCTGTGATGTTCCGCGAGTGAGGGCAGCGCGCCGAGCCGAGGGAGCGTACCGCGGCCAGATGGGAGTGGGTGATGTGCAGTAAAAAGTAGTACCTGATGATGCAAAACGACGTAGTATCCGATCACTGTCCCGGTTTAAAAAATTTAGCGACGTAGTACCGAAAAAACGTTAAGCGAGGACTTACTGTAGTGCACTAAGGTCGTATAAGTTGCTTTTCGCAGTTTTGCCTATTTATGCCATTCCTTGGAACCTAACCAACGCGAATAACAAGGGTTTACTGTAATAGTATTGAAGAGGCAATGGAGAAGATTAAGAAATGGATGGACAGAATAGAGGCAAGGGCCTGAGAGTGAATGTGGCAAAAGTGGAAATATAGATTAGTGGCATGGGAATGGTACCCTTGGTGAAAAGTGGAAAATGGCCAGGTGCTGTCTACAAGAAAGGTGTTTGCTGCAACTCAGTAATGTGCAATGAGTGTGAAAGGTAGAATGCAGGATGTTTTTGGCTTTGAAGTGTTCTGTATGTACAGGTAAGCATGTGCCAACATCATTGCTAGAGAAACTGAACATTGGGGATATGTCCCTGGACTGTGTTGATGCATTCTGTTACCTGGGTGACATGATCAGTGCTGGTGGGGGTGCTGAAGCCTGTTCAGTTGTGAGAGTCAGAAGTGACTGGAGGAAGTTTAGGGAGCTGCTGTCTGTAATGACAGTAAGAGGATCTTCCCTCCGAGTAAAAGGAAGAATGTCTGCAGATGGTGTGAGAAGTTTGTTGTTGTATGGCAATGAAACATTGCAGTTGAAGAGGATGACATAAGTATACTCAAGTGAGCTGGAATGAGAATGGTGAAGGGGATATGCAATGTGACACCGAAAGATAGCAGGCACTGTTCAGAATTCTGGGTATTGAGAGTATTGGTGAGTAGAGGCAGGTTGATATGGTTTGGGCATGTGGAGAGAATGGATGAGACCAGTTGGGTGAATAAGTGCATGAGCTTAAATGCGGTGGAGAGGAGAGCCACGGGTAAACAAAGAATTACATGGGGAGAGGTTGTAAGAAATGGTATTTGGGTTAGGAACCTGACAAGAGAGACTGCAAGAAATTGTGCTGCATGGAGAGCTGCTATCAGGTAACTGCAGCTAACCCATGCAAGTATATAAAATGGCTATAAATCAATGCTGATGATGACCATGACAGCTTGAATGGCAGAAATATGAAGGAGTGGGGCTGTTGAAAAGTCTAAGCTCTAAGGCAAATTTTAATTAAAAGAAACTTGTCTCTTTTTTATTGTAGTTCCTCATTCAAATCATCAATTCTACCACTAAAAAGCCAGAAGAAAGTAGTTTTTCATAGAAGAATTTAATCTAACCAAACAACCTAATCTTACAAACTTAACCATTTCTTGCCTTTCTAACCTAACCAAATCATCAGTTTAGAATGTCACCTATTCTTTTTTTTTCTTATAGGTATTGATTTCAAGATTCGAACTATTGAGTTGGATGGCAAGAAGATCAAACTCCAGATATGGGACACAGCAGGACAGGAACGTTTCCGGACCATCACCACAGCTTACTACCGAGGTGCCATGGGGATCATGCTTGTTTATGACATCACAAATGAGAAGAGCTTTGATAATATCAAAAACTGGTATGTTATACTATAACACAAATTCTAAGCTGTTGTAGGTCACCTTTGTTCTGAGAATTCATGTAAACATTATCTAGGGAAAGGTATAAGGTCACCCTGAGGAAGAACACTCAAAGCCTCCAATTCCTTTGACTGGAATCTAGAAATTGAGTAAATTTTGAAGTTATATTAACCTTTTCAACAGTGATATACCCATTAGCCGGAACAATTGGTGCAGAGCACTCGTGGGGATGAGAGATTTCTGGCTAACCAAACGACTTTCTCAAACCTGAAAAAATTGCTTATTCCCGGAATCTTTTCCGGTTACTGGGAAAAGTTTCCAAGTGTCTAAAGTAGACATCTTGCACAGACAGACACTAGCCCACTTCCCCAGAATGTTTCTGGGTGCTGAGGATGTTTTCCTCGAGTCTAAACTACCGGAGTCCGTAAATGCAGTTCTAATTAAGTTAGAAACTCAATTTCTTTACTATAATAATCCAGTGTGTGTGGGTGGTTGTTGGAGGGTGTGTGTGGGTGGTTGTTGGAGGGTGTGTGTGTGTGGGTGGTTGTTGGAGAGCGTGTTTGAGTAGTAGTTGGGGAGTGTGTGTGTGGGTAGTTGTTGGAGTGTGTGTGTGGGTAGTTGTTGGGGAGTGTGTGTGGGTAGTTGTTGGAGAGTGTGTGTGGGTAGTTGTTGGGGAGTGTGTGTGGGTAGTTGTTGGGGAGTGTGTGTGGGTAGTTGTTGAGAGTGTGTGTGGGTAGTTGTTGGAGAGTGTGTGTGGGTAGTTGTTGGGGAGTGCGTGTGTGTGTGTGTAAAATTGGGCTGAGAGTGGGAGATTCAAACTTTTTGGGGGGTGAGGGGAGAGGGTCGTGCGGTAACTTCCCCTCCCCTTTCCTCACACAAGTGTGGCTAATTGTGATAGGGAGATGAGTTTGATACCATAATAATCCCTCTACAGTTTCCGTTTACTTGTGGAATCACTAGTTAGATGTAAACTGGAAGTAATATTCACAAATGTTTATGGGTTAAGTTTTGAAACCCAAATGGCCTTTTCTCCATTTATTTAGAAAATAAACCATTGCATAATAACAAGGATATCACCGTAATTAAAGCTATGAGCTGTGAGCGTGAATAATGGATGAAGCGTATAAGTAATTAGCTTCGTCACGACACGTCCAGTTGCTGTGAGTGACGAGGGTGGACTTCCCTGCAGGTCGGCTACTTTATTCCTGACTCTGCAGTCTAGAGACGCAAGTGTGGAACTATCCCTGTCACATGTCCAACGGATGAATGCTCACGGCTCAAAGGAAAATTATCGTGGGTGAAGTAATTATAATTATATACCTTATGTATGTAACCTGCATTTATATTACCGTCTGTTAGACAGGGGCTGATACAATCCTTAATAAATTCTCTCCCAAGATGTTTCCAATAAGATATCCTTAAAATAAATATACAGTATTACCCCGCTTTACGCGGTTTCACTTTCCGCGATTTCTCATTTACGTGGTACCTCGCCAGAACTGGACTTTCACTTTCCGTGGTGCATCTACTCATATACGCGGGTGAAGTATAATTTTTTATTTAGCTCATAAAATTCATACAAATTACCCGGCCAGAATATAAATTACATTGCTGGAATTCTTACAATATGATGATCATTTTGAATATAAACATCATGGATTTTGCATTAGACATACAAATTTTAGATCCAATGTAATAATTTGGTTTACACAAAGCAAATATTTTATCGTTTGTGCAAAATATATGAAGTTTACATTCAAAATATTCCCTGACCTGCAAAGAATCCAGAAATGTCAATTATATTATCCTAACTTTAGTCTGAGTTATTATTTAATACTAAAAATGTAAAGATACTGTTTTCTCCCAAACATTTCTCTGGTAGGGAGGGAAGGTGGGGGGTGGGGGGGAGGGTTGGGACCGATCGACCCAGCTGGTGTGAGTGTGAGGAGGGGGGGGAGGCAAGGTGGGGTACTTTAATTGACAGATAGTGTCTTGAAGAATATTATTATTTTTTTTTTAACTGAAGATATTTGTTTTAGCTCATAAAATTCATACAAATTACCCGGCCAGAATATAAATTACATTGCTGGAATTCTTACAATATGATGATCATTTTGAATATAAACATCATGGATTTTGCATTAGACATACAAATTTTAGATCTAATGTAATAATTTGGTTTACACAGCCAATATTTTATCTTTTGTGCAAAATATATGAAGTTTACATTCAAAATATTCCCTGACCTGCAAGGAATCCAGAAATGTCAATTATATTATCCTAATTTTAATCCGAGTTATTATTTATTACTAAACATTAAAATCTAGTGTTTTCACCCAAACATTTTTCAGAGAGGTAGGAGCCAGTGAGCTGGGAAGAAGGGGGGTGGGGGGGTGGGGGGAGTTGAGTCCATTATTTGAATGGACATTAACCTGGTGACTCTATTTCTCTTAAATATGAATTGTGTGTGCATACCATCATAAAATTAAGATGTTATTTTTACTACAACATAGGTATTGTGTCTGAAAAAGTGGAGTTTTGGGGTCGGGCCAGTCTCTATTGGAATTAATCCCATTTGTTCTGTTGTTCACTTTACGCGGTTTTCTCTTTCCGCAGTACCCCGTGGGTTCAATTGACCGCATAAATCAGGGTACTACTGTAGTAATAAAACTCAGTATTTACCAATTACACTTTGTAAATTAGACAATCTCCCACCAATTACATTTCAGGACGCTATCATCATGCCAAATTCTGAAATAAATATGTTAGGCCGCACCATTTCCTCCAATATGTCCTGGAAATCCCACATCTTTAGTATAGCTAAAGCTGCCTCCCGAAAGTTGGAAATGCTGTACAGATGCCGTAGCTACTTCACTCCTGAGCAGTTGCTCCAAGTATATAAGGGATTCATTCATCCTAACTTGGAGTACTGCTCTCATATCTGGGGTGGCTCTTCTTCTGTCCAACTATTAGATAGGGTGGAATCAAAGGCATTTCATTTTATTAACTCTCCTCCTTTAGTTGACAATCTTTCTTCTCTTTCTCTTCGCCGCAATGTTGCTTCACTCTCTCTCTTTTACAGGTACTTTAACGGGCAATGTTCGGTGGATTTGGCAACCTGTGTACCGCCGGCAAGGACGTGGGCTCGTAATTCACGTCTTGCCCGCGGTGCCCACCGTTTCTCTGTGGATGTCGGTCACACGAGAATAACCCGTTATAGTACCTCCTTCTTTCCTCACACAGCCAAACTGTGGAATGCTCTGTCTTCTGTGTTTCCATACTTATACAATCTGTCTCACTTTAAAAAGCTGGTCTTCTGGCATCTTCGTGGTGTAGATTAACACAATATAACCTTTTTGTCCTCTAATTTCAATTTCTTTGTTCTTTTTTTTTTGCCCACCGGGCCCCGTTGTGGGTTGTTTGACCTGTGCCCGGGTGGGCTAATTCCCGTAAAAAAAAAAGTTTCTCTGGGCACGTTAAACTGTCGTTAGGGCAAAGCTGTACTGTACATGTACTCAAAATAATGTACTAAATGATTACTAAAATTTTTGTCTAGTGCAAACTAAAGCATGATTATATTCAAATAAATCACTATCTTATAAGAATTCCAGCAATGTAAATTATATTCTCCCCGGTCACTTCTGTGACATTTTATAAAAAAAAGAACCCTCACTCTAAAGGACATAAATAAACAAATAAATACTTCACTAGACCTTAGCACAACTGTCAAACATGTCATTCCCCTCCCTCCCTCCCCCCCCATCTTCCCAGCCAGGGTTTGGTGGTTATAGGTTTTTAAGTTTTTATCTTATATAATATCACAGACTAAAGTTAGGAGAATATTTGCATTGCTAGAATCCTAGCAAGACCGCAAATAATTTGAAAATAAACGTCATATATTTTGCACAAGAGATAAAATTTTTAGCCCTTTGTAATAAAATTAATTGGAACTAAAATTTGTATGTCCAATGCAAACTATAGGATGTTTATATTCAAACTAATCACTATCTTATAAGAATTCCAGCAATGTTAATTATATTCTCCCATGTCAGTTCAGTGACATTTTATAAGATAAAAACTTAGTTGCTCTTAAGGACAAATAAATAAATAAATAAGCATGAGACCTTGGCATCAATTGTCAAACATATCACCTCACCTCCTCCCCCTTCCCATCTTCCCATCAGCTGATCTCTAGTAACCAGACCATTTCACATTCTATAATTTTAGCTGTGTTGATTTATGAGTGTTTGTTTTAACATAATACAGCTCCTCCCCGACTTACGACCACCCGCCCTAGTACCGGTACCTGCCTCAGTCGTAACAAAATTTTGTAAAATTACGTGTTTTCGAGTCTCAGCGTCAGTGATTGCGCTGTGTACTGACAAAATTTTTGTTTGCACAGGCATCCCCCTCGTTACGGAAGGGTTCCGTTCCCGGAAAATTGACGCATCGCGAAATTCCGTAACGCGAAACCTATTTTCCCATTGACTTCCATTATAAAACTAAACTGGAGATGCGTTCCTGAGGAATTTTTTCGGCCCCAAAAAAGTAATTCAAGCACTTTTATTAATGAAAATAAACATTTATAAACACATACAATACAGTACATTAAATAATTTATGATATACCTTCTTAAAACACCAATTTAGGGGTTAATATTGCATAATATTGCATTATACAGCTATGTGTATGTTCATTTGAGTGCCCCATCATAGGAGTCTGTTTTCTCTAACTTCAGCACTCCTGAGTCGTCCGTTTTCTCTTAATCTTAAGAGTGCACCAGAGACTATTATTTTTTAGTAGTGACACAGAATTTGATATTGCAACTGGGGTTGCAATTGTTAAGGTAACTTAGGTATGTCTGATTACAGTTGGAATAATCAAGATCCATTGTGAGTGATGTTTAAAGCTTCAACTGTCTTTATGGTTGGTAAAACTTGTCAAGTCTGTCAGTCTGAATGGCATGTGTGAGGCCTTGTGTTTGTACAACCGCTAATTA